TCCCACAGCAAGGACATTTTATCATTATTTTATGGGCACAAAGGAGACTAGGGGAATAGTTGACTTCAGTGAAGTGGAATTCATGTCAAGGCCACTTCACTGTCTTATTTTAAGATGGAGTCAAACTTTAAAATGGAGTTAGTTAGGTCTCACATTGCTACAGAGCTCCAACTTACAAAAAATCTTTACTAACAGTACCTCAGTATGTAAAGGTTCACCTTGAGAAAATTTCAGATACACAATGAATTAATTCTTGAAGTACTTATTAAGTTGAAACAATGTGTAGGTGCCCCACCTAGTAAATACCACGTATGTAAGAGTTCCACTATCACAGGACACACACAGATCCACACACTTTACACTTGATCTTAGCCAAAAGGCCGAGAAGCGATAATCCACACACATTATAGAAAACAATGCCAAAAAGTTTAGTTATAACTACTCATCATATCCAGATGATATCAGAGATGATTTCTTTCCTTTCTGGTTTACTTGTAACCCTAAGTAACTATACTTTGACAGCTAACTTGGAGGCCACTCCCCTCCGGTTAATAACACCAGGGACTGATTCCATTTTAGATTTTCGTTCTTGGTGCTGCCCAGACAGAGGAATGATAGAAATCTTACGAATATCAAGTTGCTGCTTTATGCCAAAACATGGCGTTCCCAAAGGATGCTCTGTCTAGAATCTGTGGGGGAACCATACACAAATGTTCTATTTACTCAGGTCTTCCACAGAGGCTGGAAATGTTTGTGTGTGGAGGGGTGGGGACAAGGGCGAAGAGTGGATTTGCTGGCTCCCAACAGTTCAGCCCTGAGATTCCAAGATTCTATAAAAGAGCAGTAAATGAGGGTTTGGCAAGTATTGGCTGACTATTGAAGCCAGCAAAAACATTTACTTGAGGCTTTTAAATCTGTAAGGGTACCCAGTGGTTAGGGACAGTAATTCTGAATCTGAAAAAAACAAATGAGGTCCCTGGACCTGTTTCTAAATACAGGCAGGGTGGAGGAGATAGGCACATTTCCTTTGTTTTCTCCAAGTAAACAACACAGACTTCAGAAATACAAAATGTGACTCTCCGTGGTATTGGTCCTTGTAAAGTGTGTTACTGCCTCACAAAAAAAAAAAAACTAGAAAGTTACTTTTCAAAGTTCACTCCCAGCTTCTAAGTAGACTAGTTCAAAAAAGAAACAAAAAAGCCCATGCTTCCTGCAGAAAGAGAATCAAACCTTCAAAACACTTAATATCCTGCTATATAAAATATAAATCCCCATTGGCATAGGAAAAGACTTTATGAACAAAACCTCAGTAGCACAAGAACTTGCACAAAGAATCAACAACTGGGATCGCATCTTATTAAAAAGCTTCTGCACTGCAAAAGAAACCACCAACAGAGCTAAGAGACAACCTACAATGTGGGAAAAAATTTTTAGCAGCTGTACCTCAGACAAAGGTCTACTATCTAGAATATGTAAAGAATTGAAAAAAATGAGACCCCCAAAATTCAAAGACCCAATTCAAAAATGGGCAACTGAAATGAACAGACATTTCTCAGACAAAGAAGTAAAAGCACCAAATACACATATGAAAAAATGTTCAACATCACTGGACATTTGAGAGATGCAGATGAAAACAACACTGAGATTCCACCTCACCCCAGAAAGA